TATATATATATATATATTTGATAGAGTTGCATTATTTTCTAATTAAGATAATTAAGTTATATTGTATAATAAAAGAACAAAAATGAAAGAAGAAAATGATAGCTAATATGATCAATATTATAGTATAATAATTAAAAAAATATTATATTATAGAAAATTTTAAAAAAAAGTACAACAAAAAGATACAAATTTTAAATACAATTTGTTAATTATATTTTTATTTTACCCAAAATTTCAAAAAAATATATTTAGCGAAAAATAAAAAAGTAAAAGTATTGTAATATTTAATTAAGTTATTTTGTAATTGGGTGATTTGGCTAGTTTAAAAGTAAAATTATAAATCAAACTAATTATATGGATTTTAAAGTTTTTTAATTCAAACTATGTTAAAATATGCCATTAGCCTATTACCTTAATAAATTCGACGTTTTTAACCCCTCACTTTATATTATTTAGCAAGAATATTATTAGATATCTATAATTAAATCAAGTGATTAGTTTAATCTAAAGAAAAAAAATCTGAGTAAGATTAAAGAAAGAACTTTAATTGTAATCTTTTAGTTTTTTGAACTTTCTGTCTTAATTTAATTAAGAAATTTTTTTTAATCTCAATCAAAATACTTTATTCAAATTGAATTAATTACTCAATTTGATTATAAATATATAATACTATTTTAATGTATATGCGAAAGTCATCTATTAATTTTTTTTAGTTTATAATTTTTTTAATTTAAAATTTTGAAACTAAATTATTATATATTTTTTATTTTTTAGGATTAATTCTGTAAATACTTTATTCTCACATTAACAAAGAGTTAATGGATTCTATCAGTCTAAAGATTAAAATATTCAAATCTTTAAATTTAAAGGTTAAATCTTCGTAATATAAGTTAAAGTGTTAAAAACTTTAAATTTAATAAAATAAAAGATTAAATACATATTTTAACCTTCAAACCAACTCAAATTGAACTGAGTTTGGATTGGATTTTAATTAAATTAATCAGTCGGATCGAATCAATCATATTAGAGTGGATATGAACAGTCCTAATTCTATTCAAGTGTGGCCCAAAAACAAACAAAGTCATTGCAAACTTATTCAGCCCAAGCTCACGTATTAAACCCAATCACCTCAAAATACAGGAAAAGAGCGAGGGACTATTGGAGCAGCCGCAGAGATCCTTCCGTCACTGCCGTCACTGCTGCAGCCTTCACCCTATGTAATTTGAAGGAGTGAAGACTTCTTTTTTTCACATTTTACATTTAATTTTCATATTTTTAAATTTTACGTAGTCGTCAACGATGAGAGCTATGCTCTTGGATTTGCTGGTGATTTCTCCACTGTTGCAGGATATCTTGTAGAGGGATGGAGTGGATCCTTGAATGCTCAATTGAGATTTTGGGCATCTCAGCCTCAGATGACTCCCCTTCCGGATTAATCGTATCGCCTTCTCTGTTAAGTTGTGGATTTTCATAAATGTGTGAAGTCAGAGTTTGGATTGTCGCTCCTTGTTTCATGAATTTTATCTAATATTTGTTATGTTTTGCCTGAGTTTGTTGCTCAATGGCATTATCAAATATGTTGGAGGTGTGGGTATAGTTGGATTATCATTGGAAAAACCGTTCAGCTATTCCTTTGCTTGTGCTAGGATTGTGATAGGATGCCCTGGTTATAAGAGTATGCTGGCTTGAGGACAGTGGCGGAACTACTTAGGCTTACGGTTAGGCACCGGCCTTACCCTGGGCGTAAAAAATTTAGAGTATTATTAAGCCTAATACTATTAGGTTCTATCTTAAATAAATAAAATTTTTTTATGAAAAGTAAAACCAAAAATATAAATTTAACTAATAGGTTTGTTACGCACGAGCCCGACCTGAACCTGAAAATTTATAGTATCACTAAACCTAATACCATTAGGTCCTACCCTAAGTAAATAAAAGATTTTTATGAAAAGTAAAATCAAAGACATAAATTTAATAAATGGGCTTGTTATCGACTCGGCCAAATTCAAGAGTGACACGGAAACTTTTGGCGCCATTTACATGTAACATAAATAAACAAATATCAAACTTTGTCTGCTAAAAGGATATTTCCAAATTCTCCGACAAATTTGCATTTTAAAAGTGTAGGTAGTGGTCCTCTCTCATTTTCGATGCTTCTCCTCCAATATTTGATTGGATCAACATCAACTTTTATATTGGTTCTATTGTCCAGCCGGACAGCCCCAAGTAACTTGTTCTTTCGAACTTTTTGTCTTTTTTTCTTTTCTATATAGTTACTTTATATTTTAACTTATTGTTATATTTTAAAAGTGTAAGAAATGATCCTCTCTCATTTTCGGTGCTTCTCCCTCTTCAATATTTGATTGGATCAACATCAACCTTTATATTGTTCCCATTGTCCCGGTCGATTATTTTATTTTAAATATTTTTATTTTATATTATAAATTATTCATGATAAATTTAAACTCGATTGATGATATTTTTTATATAAATCAAAATGATAGTCATCTTTATACTTAGAGTTATATGATTAGTGTTTTATTTAATTAATATATTAGTGTTATAATAATTTTAATTAATATTAATATATTTTTTTATTAATAATCATACCTATAATATAGTATAAGGCCCTACCCTAAACAAATTCTTGGTTTTGCCACTGCTTGAGGATGCTCTGGTTACAAGAATTAAGGATGCTTTAAATTGTCAAATCTCATTCTGGTTAAAGGAGATTATTGAGTAGCTGATTGTTATTCTGTTCAATATTCTTAGTGATACTCAATCTCCAGGATATGGCTTTGTTGCATTGGTCAGTTGTGATGGCATAAGGTTAGGGGTTTTAGGTGGGCATGGCAGCCAAGCTATTTTTGGATCTTTCATTTCCTACTTTGTTGGTATATGTGCCGTCAGAAATAAAGAGAAAAAAACCATTATGGCCCTAGGTTCTGTAACTTCTGTTGGTATCTCAAATTTAAAAAATCAAAAACTATGTCCTGTGTTTTCTACTGTTCTGCCCGGTGAATGGTGTGAGTGCAGGATATACTCGGAGGAAAGCTGAGGACAGGGATAGCTTGTTGGAGTTTACCCATATCTCTTTTCAAAAGTAATTGGTAAACAGTGTTGTACTAAATGTTCAGTTGCTTCTAAGAAATTTAAGCTCATAGCAGAGAATATTTCACAAGAATGGACAAGGTATTTCCTCCGGTTACGTATATGACTTAGAAATGTGAGATTCCAGGGAGTTCATATGCCTTCTTGTTATTCAATTTGACTCATGACCTTGTTAAATCTTTTGTGAAAAAAATACAGCCACCTGGTCCCACCTTCAAACCACAAAAAATTGTTCAATGCATTTGCCCTAAAATTCCCAAGCCATCTTTCACAGGAGCAGAGTGATCCTCAAATTGACCGTTTATTCATTTAACACTGAGGTTGATGGTGACATAACTCCGCACATTCTTATGATAATTGATTCTCTACATGATCCTAGGCAACAAAACCGGAGAACTTTCATCATTAAAAATTGTCTGCTTTCTAATTCTTCGTTACCCTGTACCTGTTTTTACTCTCCTTGCTCAGCCTCTCCACTGAAACATAGAACCTAAGTTACCTATATCTATTCTTGAGAGT